TAGGAACCACTAGTAAACCTGCAGATTTAGTATCTGTGAGTTTATGATTCCGTCTTCTAAATCTCTGAATCACGCAGCCAAAAATCGGATTTCTACTTGCAAATTGCGATTTTTATTCACCGATGCTAATTCGAAAGAAAAGAAAGAACAGAACTACAGAAAGTTCTGCATCTAAAAGTCCTATAAAAACCTATGAATCTTTAAATTAAAGCCTATAACATAAAAACATTAGAAATTTGAATTAAATTACTGCAAATCACATACATACACGTACAACTCACACATTTAGAAGTGTGAATTAACCACAAATTAGCAAGTAAGAACTGCAAATTTAGGACTACAAACACAGATTTACACAAACCAATTAGTATTTATAAAAGCAGATCATAATGTAGAACTACCAATCACAAATCTATTAGCATGAATCACAATTTACGACTACAAATCACAAATTTACCTTTACGAATCACAAATGAACAAGTACAGCACTGCAAAAACGATCTAGAAATAAGTAAAAATGTCTTAAATTAAGTGTATTCACCCTTAATTTGAGCAGGTAAATGAGATAGTTTGCCAATGGAGTATTTTTACTCTTAAAATAAGATAATTAGATTAAATGCACTTGAAATAAGACAATGTAATTGTGTTTTCTTATTCTAAGTGTAAATTATCTTGTTCCATTGGCAAAATGTCTCTTTTACCTCCTCAATCCAAGAACAAATGCACTTATTTTAAGAAAGAATGATCTAGATTTAGATTTTTTGCAGTCTGAGAACGATTCACAATGATATATGCATAATCACAAATTAACAGGACTAAATCAAAATTTAGGAGTTCAAATAAAGATTTTAGGACTACAAATGACAATTTTTGCTACTAAGAATCAGAAATGTACGAGAACATTAAAACTTGTGTGCATGAATTAGAAATGTATGAGTAGGAATCTTATATTATTAGAAAGAATCGCAAATCACAAATTAGCCTTCTTCTTTTTTAACTTTTTATGTCAACCAAGATCTTTACGCATTTCTGCAAAATTGTCAAATAGTTTGGTGCAACTTTATGTTTTAGGGCTTATTTTCCATTGAATTAACTCACTGCATCATTCAACCAAAACAAAGAAGGATATTCTTTCAGAAATCGTAAGAGGACTTTAATGAAAACACTTGATTTTTTTATTTTTTTGCCCTCAACCTAATAAGCAAACATTGTAAAGAAACAAATGAAGTATAGCTCCCTTAAATTATCTGAACTCCGACTTTGTCATGAATGTGGCAACAACAGACGTCCTTGTTGCCTTAAAGTACAATCCTTGTTTTTTTTTTTTTTTTAGAAGAAGCCCGCCCTAAATCCAGGTTAGATTTTAAAGTAGATTGTTATTAAAGGAAAATTCTGGTTTTTAACACTTTTAGCCCATTTTCTGTAGTGTCCAGGATGAAATCGAATGATTGACACCAAAATTTTGACAATTGGTCCTGTCTCTGATATTTGGCTCATGCAGAATCCCCCCCTGGCTGCTTTAGAATGGCTTCCATAGTGCATGTCCGATAATGTCCTTAAAACAACCTTAAACGTTCTTTTTTTAAAATATGCTACTCACCAGGTCGTCAGCGCTGTTCAATGACTATGGAAGCCATTCTAAAGCAGCCAGGGGGGGATTCTGTATGAGCCAAATATCAGAGACAGGACCAATTGTCAAAATTTTGGTGTCGATCAT